ATTTGTTCCGCCGCTTGATAAGCGAATTTATAAAGAACGAATTGATGAATATATGAAATTTGCAAAAGATTATGAAGAAAAATTTGCACAGTTCCTAAATGATAGAGAACAAAAGGCAGAAACGCTATATGCATCGTTAATGGATAGTAGTGATAAAGCCAAAATGGATGAACATTTAAATGAAGAAAGAAAAACTCGTTATGATTCAGCATGTAATTTAATGAAAAAAATTGAAAATGAACTTCAAGCATGTATTCATGTTTATAGAAATGATTAATTTCCAAAAATAATCAAGTATTAATTTTTATTTTATTTAATAATAGAGAAGGCGAGAAAATGTAAAAAGTGCTTTTAATGAACTTGAAAAAGGAATTGAGAATTGGAAAGAAGAACTAAAAATTGAAACACAAAAAAATTTGATTATTGCTGCTGTAGATTTATCTTTAAGCGTTGCCAAAATTGGTTTACAACCTGGTGGCATAATCAGCTTTGTTGAAACTATAAAAAAAGTGACCAGTTCAGTTCAGGAAGCTTTAACTAGCGTCGATATAGAAAAAATTGAAGAACTATATAAGTTAGCTACCGATGTTGATGTGAAAGAAAATTTTGACCAACTTAAAGATTTAGAAAATCAGGTTAATAAAATTCAAGAAATTGATAAAAAAATGAAAAGTGACATTGAAAATGCTAATAAATTAGATAGTAATATGAAGGAAAAGCATGGAAAAATAGAGAACTTAGATATTAATGGCCTTGCAAAAAGGTATGTCAAATTGTCTAAATGCACTAAATTAACTAAATTAGCAATTATGATCAATATAATTCACTAGTCATCTCTATTAGGCTTGAAGCTAATGATCAAAAAGGAATCTTATTAAGCACCGAATGGGAATTAACTAGGCGTCAAATGATGAAATTGCTTGAATTTGTAAATATATCCTCTATAAATTAATTAAATAATAACAATAGCGATTACTTATTTAAAATATTTCATTATTACTAGCCAATCAAACAAAATATTGAAGGTGCTAAAAAATATTTAGATTCATTAGAGATTTTTTTTATATTTATTGATGCATACATTAAAGCCAAAATCGAAGAAATCGAAAGTTCTGAAGAATTTTTACGAACTAGTTTGCAAGCAAAAATGTCAAAAAGAAAAAAAGACCGAGTTGAACTAATGATTAAAAAACACGAATCAAAAAATTATGATGAGATTAAATTTCAATTAATCGAACATCTTATCAATATTAAATTTTGGATGATGATATACATGGAAGATTATCTTTGTGCCTACGAATATTGGTCACTTTCAAAGTCAGAAATAAAACCTTCAGTCATTAAAACATTCCAAGAATTGGAAGAAGATATGAATAAAATTAGAGATGAACTAGAGAGTACATATGTACAATTTGGGCGTAGTCCTAATCTTAATTGGTCTTTAATTAAATTTGATGAAGAAAAATATATTGATGAATTTAAAAATAATCGATCTGTTATAATAGAAATTCCATTGAATTGTGAAGAATTGATGAATTATTCACATATAAACCTTCACGCTCTTAGGGTATACTTAGAAGGGGTTGGATCGGAAAATGAGATAATCAGTCTCTATATTAGTAATACAGGCACTTTGGCGAACAGAGATAAAAAAAATCAAGATCATCATTTTAGGTCTGAACCTATCCCAATTAATGAATTTAAATACAGAATA